ATTACTGGAAGGGACTCAGTAATGTGTTTCTGTGGCTGAGTACTATCAGGAATTTGATAATGTGGTTGCCTGAAAGTAATATACTTATTTACTATTCAATTACACAAGGATATAAGATTGCCATAGGACAGAAAAATTCTACCAGAAGACTGGGAAAAAATGCCAGGTTCAAGAAAAGGAGAATGAGATCTATTAATATGCCAGCCAATTGGTTTTATCTAGGCATGGCTTTAAAGTTGCATATATCGGGCCGGGTGCAATAGCGTAGTGGTTAGAGTCCTCGCATTGAACGTGTCAGGATCCTGTATGGGCGCCGGTTCTAATCCCGGCAGCTCCACTTCCTATCCAGCTCCCTGCTTGTGGCCTTGGAAAGCAGTCTAGGATGGCCCAAAGCCTTGGGACCCTGCACCCACATGGGAGATCTGGAAAGAAGTTCCTGGCTCCTGGCTTCGGATTGGCACAGCTCCTGTCATTGTGGCTGCTCAGGGAGTGAATCATCAGACAGAAGATCTTTCTGTGTCTCTTCCTCTCTGTATATTTGAATTTTCAATAAAAATAAATCTTTTTTTAAAACATCAAATATTAAAATTAAATTTAAAAAAATTTTTAAAGAAATGTTATAAAAAATAAAAAGTTCTAATCTGGTTAAACATGAGAATCCCTATGAATCCCAGAGTGTGTGGGACGACCTTCAAGAGAAGCTCAAATCTCACCCTAAACCACAGAATCCACAGCCAAGGGAAGCCAGCAACTTCAGGGAAGGCTTTCCATAAAAGCTCCCATCTCACCATCCATCAGAGAATTCACACTGGCAATAAGCCCTATGCATGTTATGACTGCAGACAGACATTCAGGCAGAGTTCACACCTTGTCACACATCAGCAAATGCAGACTGGGGAGAAACCCTTTGAAAGCAGTGAATATGGAAAAGTCCTCAATCAGTGTCCTCGCCTCACCGCGCACCAGAGCCTCTAGCGGAGAGAAACCCAATGGGTGTCAGGGACGCGGGGAATCTTTCAGTGGGTGCCCAGCTTTTCTGAAACATCAGAGGCTTATGCATGGTAGAGGATCTGGAATGTGAAATAGCTCTCCCATCTGACTTGATCCTTATCTAATAACAGGAAACTCAGAAGAAAGAAAAGCCTTGTGGATGCAGACTGTGGGAGAACTTTCTGGAGAAGCTCTGATCTAATTTGGCGTTGGGTAATCTATACTGGAGAGAGACCCTATAAATGGAGGGAGTGTGGGAAGGTGTTTAGTCATACCTGGGTACACACCAGAGATGCCACATTGGAGAGAAGCCCTCCCCGAGCCATGACTGCGGGAAGGCTTTACCGATCCTTACCCAGCATTGGGAAACCACAGTGGTGAGAAGCCCAAGGCATGTAAGGACTGGCATGCGGCATTTGTCAAACATCAGACACTCCACACTGTAGAGAGACTTACGGAACGTGAGGAAAGCATCAGCAATGCTGGGGAACGCAGGCAGGGGCAGCAAACTCACCCAGAAGAGCAAGCCCACAGCAGAGCCAGTGTGAACAGACCCTCCAAAGGACACTCGGGCCTGGCCAGATGTGGGGCAACTCCCACAGTAAGGGGGACCTCGCGCAGCTGAGGACTGAGGGGGCGCTTTTGGCCAGAGCCTGTGAGGCATGGCAGAGTTCACGGCGGAGGAAAAACCCTGCATCTGTAGTAACTGGGAAGTTGTTCAGGGCCAGCTCAGACTGCTTTCAGTCAGAACTCACATGTCACGGTCACCAGAGAACCCATACTGAAAGGAAGTCCCCTGAGGAATGCCATAACGATGGGTGAGTCCTCAGGGGACACACAGTTCTCAACAACTTCACACCACAAAGGAATCTGAGGCCTGGGAGAATATTCCCACAGGACTTAACTCCCGCTGAATGGCAGAAACTTGACCAAGTAAAAATAGGCAGAGGGACCCAGTGTGATAGCCTAGTAGCTAAAACCTTGGCCTTGCATGTGTCAGGATCCCATATGGGCGCAGGTTTGTGTCCCTGCTGCCCCACTTCCCATCCAGTTCCCTGCCTGTGGCTTGGGAAAGCAGTTGAGGAGAGCCCAAAGCCTTGGGACCCTGCACCCACGTGGGACACCCGGAAGGAGCTTCTGGCTCCTGGCTTTGGATCAGCTCAGCTGCAGCCATTGCAACTGTTTTGGGGAGTAAATCAATAGATGAAGATCTTTCTCTCTGGCTCTCCTCCTGTCTGTAAATCTACCTTTCCAATAAAAATAAATAAATCTTAAAAAAAAAATGGGGGCTGGGTAGGGAGAGGCTGATAGAGCCAAAACTGTACTGCACACTGGAGAGTGTCTATTGTTAGGGAAACCATTTGAAGGTTAAAAAAAAATTAGCAAAGTTCTATTGATGTAACCCAGTAGAAAAGCTAGAAGCTTCTAGAAACAATAGCGCTTTTTTTTCTGGTGCAATGGAATACGGGTCCAAAGTATACAATGACATAAGTGTATTTTAGGGGATTTCTATCATAGAGATCATTAGAAATCATTTTGACAGCAAATCCAAAATTAAATCTTCATACAAGGAGCTCTTCCGGTTTTGCCTGCTTAGTCCAATCTGCTCTGAGTACTTAGAGTGATCAAATTTTTCCCTGGATGAATTCTGCCCCTTAGGTATGTTATACATACTCTTTGTTTCTTCCTTATAAAAAGAAAAATGCTCTTACATATGAGATCTTGTCTATTAGGATGGTCCGCTCATTTACAAGGAAACAACAAGGAACAGAAATGGCCACAGGATGGTTGAAGACCAGGATAGAAGGGCCGAGCAGGGTGTTCCCCAGAGAAGGTACGAGTAACTTCACGCCGTATCAGGAGGGGAAGACTCCACGGGACTGAGTATCACAGCTGAGCGTTCAGGTGACTTAGGGAGGCAGAACTAAAGAGCTTCTGCTCTGGAAGATGGGATGATTCGGAAGAGTGATTTGGTCTTGAACCAGAAGTGCTAATTTGAGAACTGCAGCATTGAAACAGCTCTGAGGAGAGGCGTCTCATAATGGAATCTGATAGCTGATGTTACTAATTAGGCCCTGCCAATCCGTACAGACAGATTCAGTCCTACGTGTTTCTTGAACTCTAAACTCCTGGTAGGTGGCATATTAAATGTATATGAGTCATTAAGAGAGTGGCTGAAGGAGATGAGGTAAGAATGTCAACATCACATCTTTCCTCAGGGGGAGTACCTGTGAGGTGTATGGAAGGAGACCGGAGTTCTGAACTGTGTGATATGGCCCCACCCTTAGAGATTATCTACCAATGCATGGAGACTATTGGCCTCCAACAACACAGCCGCCTTCCTTCTGCCCCCGCCCCTTGCCACAGAGAATACAGGGCCCCGGGGTAGCAGTAAGGTAGTGCCCATATGGGATCCCGGCACTAGGTGGGAATTTAGCCATTCAACCATCACACCAGGCCCTGACCACCTCATTAATAAAATGGTAATAGCAAGGATTATTTGGCTTAGTGGTTGAGACATTATACGGGAGTGTCTGGGGCTGAACCCCAGCCCAGCCTATTCAGGCTTCCTGCCAGTATACACCTTGGGTCAAGTAGGTGACTTAAGAGAGAGGTCCAGATGAAACTCCAGGCCTGGCCCAGCTGTGGCAGGCATTTGGGGAGTGAAGCAACAAATGAAAGGTAGGTCTCTTTCTTTCAAATAACTAAAACTAAAACATATTTTTAAAACATTTAAAATAAAATCATAATAATGTAGTTCATGGGGGTAATTGTAAGGCTTAAAGATGGACACATCAAGCAACATCAGGAATTTTAACTTTTTAAACAAAGATAATCAAACTGTGTTGTGACCAATAGATAATTGATAATTCCCCTTTTGATTTATTCTCAAACACAAACATACATATGTTTATATGCATAAAATAATATATAAAAGTTTTATATATATAAACTTTGGCCTATTTGCCCAAACTCTGTGCTTCAGTACCCTCCAGCCACCACCGGCCCAGTAGCCCACAAGGGAACCCCTCCTCATCCTCCTCCTCAGCTCCACAGCGACCAGGGCTGGCCCGGCTCCCCTGACCCTCCAGACCCCCGGACCTCCCGATCCTGGACCCACCGACTCCCAGACCCCCGGTTCCCCCCGACCCCCGGATCTCCCGGACCCACCGACCCCAGACCTCCCGATCCCGGACCCACCAACCCGGACCTCCCGATCCAGAACCCCCGGATCCCCAGGACCCCGGAAGCCCCCGATCTACCAATCTCCAGACCTCCCGACCCCGGATCCCCGGACCCCTCGACCACCGACCTTCCCAGACCCTCGGACCCCCGGGTCCCTAACCCCCCCCCCCCATCCCCCGCCACATCCAGCCACGCGTCGGGCGCCGGCGACTGCTGGGAGGTGGAGGCCGAGGCTGCGCAGGCGCGACCCGGGGCCGGGGAGGGGTCGTACAGGAGTCCGGGGAGGCTCCGGGAGCGCAGCGGTGAGTGCTGGCGGCCGAGGCCTTGGGGGGCTCAGCTCCGTGGCCAGGCTGCTCTCCCGGGTCACGGCAGGTGGCGGTCCTGCAGTGGGCCAGGCCTCGCAGGCAGCTCCGCGACTTTAGAGACGCGGGTGGGTTTCGGTTCCTGCGCTCCGCTCCCCGCGTTGTGTCCAGTGCCAAGGATGTGGGGCGGGAGGGGGGGTCTCAATGCCCCGTTTCTCGAGATTACCAAGAGAAGAAATGAAGGGTGAGGGTGCGGGCCAGGCTGGGGTGTGGACCACAGTTCCTCTCCAGGGCTTTTGGGTGAGGGAAGAACCTGGTTCCAGGGCTGGCGCCACCGCCGGGCATTCTCCCCTAGGGACAAGGGCCTGGCGTTTTTCATGGCTCCTCCTTTGTCCTCCTCGACCCGCGAGGTGGCCCTTGTATTTGCACCTTTAACGGCCTCTGGGTTCGCCCCTCCTCCTTCGCTGTGGGATTTCTCTGGCACTGGGCAGGACACACCAGGTGTTTTCCTCCTCACTGTTCCGCTTGGGAGTTAGGAATCTGACCAAACACAGTGGGTTTTTGCTTTAAACTTCTTCCTAGTCACGGGTCCACAGAACACTTCTTTGTGCTATTTTTATCTTTTATCTAGTTGTATCTAGAAAACCACCATTGTGGGTTTGTCTCTAAGCAGACTGCAAGTTGTTAAAGGCGGTGGCTTCATGGAGCAGCATTCAGGGGACAGGTGGGGGAGGATGTTGTACCAGGATTGGACAGGTGTTTTCAGGAATGACAAAAAGAGCACTGCTTTCTCTCTTGTTACAGGCTGGGATGGTTTGTCACTAACAGCAACTAAAACTCTGGCTCTTCAGGGTATCCCAGGAAGCAGAGAAGATCACCATGTTGGAGCCCAAGGAAGAGGGATGGCCTAGGGACTGTGAGAGCAGGCTTCCTGGGCCCCACTCGGCCAGTCAAGAGATGTTCCGCCAGCGCTTCAGGCAGCTGTGTTACCGGGAGACGCCGGGTCCCCGGGAGGCCCTGAGCCAGCTCCGGGTGCTGTGCTGTGAGTGGCTGAGGCCCGAACGGCACACCAAGGAGCAGATCCTGGAGCTGCTGGTGCTGGAACAGTTTCTGAGCATCCTACCCGAGAAGCTCCGGGCCTGGGTGCGGGGACATCACCCTAAGAGCGGAGAGGAGGCCGTGACTGTGCTGGAGGACTTAGAGAAAGGACTTGAACCAGAGCTGCAGGTGGGAAGGGGTGGCTGGGAGGGATTGGATCTGTGGTGGGAGCTGCCTCGGTGACCTTCAGGCTGGACAGAGAGGGGGACAGCAGCAGGGGAAGTTGCAAAGTTCAGGCCCGGCCCAGGGAGAGAGCAGCAGGGCGTATGTGTCTCTGTCTCTGTCCTTTCCAACCTCAAGCTCTGTCTGACCCGGAAAGAGACTCCAGCTCCTCTTCCTTTCCCTGTGCTGACTCTGAGGAGGCTCCCTGAGGGCTCCTTGGAAGCTCTGGTCCCACACAAATCGCGTGGTGCCTGATCGCCTCCAGGTCCCGGGCCCCGCACGCGGACCTGCACTGGAGGAGCCAGGAGAGGAGCAGCCGCCACTGGGGGCAGCTCAGGAGGCTGCAGGCGCTCGGCTCAAGCTTGAACCTCAGGACTCGCAGCCTTTCCCACAGAGCGGTGAGGAATGGGATTGTTTGGGGAGAGGGAGTGGGCGTAAAGATGGTAGGGGCTCAGACATTAGCTGTTACCATCGTGACCTCACTAGACTTTGCTCTTAGGTGAGAGACAGCAGTTTCATCACCCATCAAGCTGGGAACAAGAATAGCCTTCTAAAGTAGCTCTGAGGATTGGATTACATCTGCCTATAAAACCTGGTCAGAAGGGCCAGCACCGAGGCATAGTATGTTAAGCTTTGCGACACTGGCATCCTAAATGAGTGCCAGTTCAATCCTCGGCTGTCCCCCCTTGATCCAGCTCCCTGGTAATACACTTAGGAAAACAGCAGCAGATGGGCCAAGTGCTTGATCCCCTGCCAGCCATGTGGGAGACCTGGATGAAGCTTGTAGTTCCTGGTTTCAGACCAGCACAGCCCTAGCCATTGCAGCTATCTGGGGAGTGAACCAGTGGATGGAAGATCACTCTCTGTCTTTCCCTTTGTTTTTTCAAATAAAAAATAATTAAATCTTTAAGAAAAAAACAAAGTTAGCCAGTGGCAGACATTGTGAGGTAGCAAGTTAATCAAGGCTTTCAACACCCATGTCCCATGTCTCAGTTCCTGGGATCAAATTCCACACGCACTTCCAGTCTAGCTTCCTGCTAATGTGTTCTAGAAGCAGCAGGTGATGGCTTAAGTGCTTGGCCCATGCCAGCCTCCTCAGAGACCCACATGGAGTTCTTTGATCCTGGTTCATTCCTCCAGTTGTCTGCCTATGGAAGCCATTGAGAGGAATAAACCAACAGATGGAAAATCTTTCCTTGTTTCTCTTCTTTTAAGATGAAAATAAGTGAACAAACAAAACCTCAAGATCTTTTAGCTTTAGTGTCCCAAAGCAGGTCCAGGAAGTACTTTCTTCACTTCCTGACTCACCATCTCCCCTTCTCTTGAATCCTAGTTCATAGTAACTTGGCCGTGAGCTGAGGCTACCTTGAGAGTCTTTTCATTTTCTACCATGCCTCAACGAATTTGAGAGAAAGGGAGGAGAATGCCCTTCTACTAGGACATGTCCCAAACGCCCACGATGACTACGATGCCCACGATGTCTGGGCCTGGGGCCAAAGGCAGGAGCTAGGATCCCAATTCAAGTCTCATAGTGGAGTCATCACTGCTGCCTGCTGGGATTTGTGTTGGCAGGAAGCTGGTGTAAGTAAAGCTGGGAATGACACCCCACTATGAGATGCCGGTATCCAAAATCTGCCCCTAAAATGTGAGGTTTCTGCTTGATATTTGGTTTTCTACCACAACTACCACCAAAACCAAACAAAAACTTTGAAGAAGTAAAATTCTTAACAACATGCTAGAAATGGAAATTAATGTTAGAATCTCAACAAAAAGTATGTTTTACTTCCTAGCTCTCTTCTGCCATTTTTTCCAGACTCTTCTCATTCTCTTTACTGCTTCTATTTATCAACATGATATTTTACTTTTTTTTTCAGATTATTTTTATTGGAAGGGGAGACAGAAAGAAAGATCTAACATCTGCTGGTTCACTCCCCAAATGGTTGTAACAATTGGAGCTGAGCTGAACTGAGTTGAGCTTCCTCTGAGTCTGCTGCTTGGGTACAGGATCCCAAGGCCTTGGATCATCCTCTTCTGCTTTCCCAGGCCATAAGAGGCGAGCTAGATGGAAAGTGGAACAGTCCAGACATGGACTGGCACCCATATGGGATGCTGGTACTTGTAGGCAGAGGATTAGCCTGACATACCACTATGCCAACCCTGCTACTTAACTTTTAAAACAAAAGTGACCAGGCAGGTGTTTGGAAGAGAGATTAAGATGCTAGATGGGATATTGCATCTCAAAGAAGAGTGTCTGGGCTCAAGTACCTGTTCAGCTTCTCATTCCAACTTCCTGCTAGTAAGTACCTTGGGAGGCAGAAGGGGATGGCTCCAGCACTTTGATCCCTAATATCTCACATGGGAGAGCCAGAGTAAGTACAGAACTCCTTGCTTTGGCCTGGTCCAACCCCAGCTGTTTCAGGCAGTTGAGAAATGAACCAACAAGTAGATTTCTGTGTCTCCTATCATTCCTTGTCTTTCTGCCTTTCAAGAAAATGAAGATAAAAGAGAAGTAGATAGGATAAAAAGAAGGTAGCAACTACATGACTTTTTTTCACAGTGATAAACATATTTCAGATTAACCATAGCGTTTAACCTTGGGGGAGGGGATGTATATTTAAATCAGACAATCTCAGGTTACCTCAAAGCAGTGTGTTTTTGGTCTCCTTAGACATAAGCAGTGCTATAGACAAATAAACCATAAAACATGTTACAGACATTTAAGAACAGGCAAACCATTCTTTTCCTCCTTTTGTTAAGGAAACAGTTTGATGGGACAGAGAGCAGCAGGCATGCAGAAGGCAAGAGCTGGAAGGCCTTCCTCTGTACAAGAGGTAGCTGCATGAGGAAATAAATGGGAAAGGAGAAGGTTCCAGAGCCAGGAGGTCTCTACCCTCTGGAACATTCCCTCTCCCTAACCCTAATGATTCTTTCTTCTCCCTTTCCTTCACAACATCAGTTGACCTTTCTCTCATTCCTTGTAAATTTCCACACTAGCCAGATCTGAAGCCAGGAGCCAAGAGCTTCTTTTGGGTCTCCCATGCATGCAGGCTCAAGATTCAAGGCTTTGGGCCATCCTCTGCTGCCTTCCCAGGTCACAAGTAGGGAGCTGGATGGGAAGTGGAGCAGCTGAGACTCAAACTAGCACCTACATGGGATGCAAGAGGATGAGCCTGATAGTCCATGCCTCTGCCCCACCATTTAAAGAACAGATCTTGAAAAGACCTTATTTTGAAACTTATTTTAAAAATTTATTTAGTTTACCATTATATAAAAATCAGTAAAGAAAAAAAACAACAGGTATGGAGAAAAGAAAATAAATCCTTTCCCAGTATGATCCTGCTACCAAGAGCTAGCTATTGGTAATTTCTAATTAATATTCCCATTGTCATATGTACATCTCTATGGTGAATATTTTATTTTAATTTCAGAAACATAACTCCTGATCTAATTGTTTTCTCCACACATCCAGAACAGGTCTGTTTACATTTTCCACCAGCTGTAGATGGTGCAGAGCTCAAGGACAAAGCAGCATTGACAGAACCGCCCAATGTGGAGGTGGAGTCACCGGCATTCCCAAAGGCACTTGCCAGCCCCACTGCCACGTTCAAGGCTACATCTTGTGTTGAAAGCACCTTAGGACAGTCACAAAGGAAACCCAAAGTGGGCAGACTGAGGCAGTCCCCTGCCCAGGGAGCAGGTTCGAGGCAGACAGTTGTCACCCATAAGAAAACTCCCCCAGGGAAGAAAGACCACGAGTGTACTGAATGCGGTAAAGCCTTCGTTTATAATTCACACCTGGTCATCCATCAGAGAATCCATTCTGGAGAGAAACCCTATAAGTGTAGTGACTGTGGGAAGACTTTCAACCAGAGCTCAAACCTCATTCAACATCAGAGAATTCACACGGGGGAGAAACCCTATGAGTGTGGCGAGTGTGGGAAGGCTTTCAGGTGGGGCGCTCATCTTGTGCAGCACCAGAGGATCCACTCCGGAGAGAAGCCCTATGAGTGTAATAAATGTGGCAAGGCCTTCAGCCAGAGCTCCTATCTCAGTCAGCACCTGAGGATCCACAGTGGAGAAAAGCCATTCGTGTGTAAAGGATGTGGGAAGGCCTACCGCTGGAGCTCAGAGCTACTTAGACACCAGCGAGTGCATGCTGGCTCAGAATCTGCCCCATACGTGGACGGGGAGAGAGGCTCCAGACAGACTTGTACTTTTATCTAATCTACTTTAGGATCAGAGTCCATAAAAGTTCTAAGTGTCTTAAAGAGGTTTTTCCTGTGTCGTTCTTGATTTTGGAAAAACTCCACCTAGTCCCACCTGTAGCTCGTCACTTCTATGTCCTTTGAATGTCATCAGTGTTGGCCATAAGGAATAGCTGAGTTGTGCTGCTTCTCCTTTGGGGCATGACCTAAGGGGAGATTCTGACCGGCATGGGTTCCCAAAATATAGAGATAGTAATGCCTGCAGAGGGGCTGGCAGTTATATTAGCGTTTATTGTGAATGAGACTTCGGTCCTGGCCCTCTCTTGGACCCAAACTGGTCTGTCTCCCTGGACAGGGTCACTCCCACAGTGTGCAGGTAGGAGACGGAAACCACGCTTAAGAATTGGGACAGGGAGAAGTGCTGACTAGGAAAAGTTGGTTAAGGAGGTAGAGAGGTCTGTGAAGAACACGGGAAGAGCAGCGTGGGGAACAGCTGCTACCTCCAGGGCTTGCAGGCCCTAAGAGCCGGTTGTGCCCAAAGCCAAGCTGCAGTGAGCTATGGTGGGCATATTGACATCAAGGAAATCTGCAAACAGATCAGGAATTGTTTGGGTTTTGAGCCAGTTAAATATTTACCGACAACGCTCTCCAGATGGTGAAGTCCCCGGCAGTGCCGCAGGCCAAGGCTGACAAGCATGGAGCTGTAAGTGGAGGTGCCAATGAAACGCTTGTTGGGCGCCACTGGATCCCTTGCCTACTGCAAGCAGTTCACTGTAAAAACAAGATGGAAAAGACCAGAATTAGAACCAGGAGCTGACTTCTGTCCCCTTGGCTGCTGCAGGGCTTGTTACTGGCCAAGTGGAGACAGGTCCAGCTCTGATATGGTCCTTGTCCAGGACAATCAAGGGTGGATCTGGAACAAGGAGGCAATCCATTGCTGACTAATGTCCAACCCGGGGACCCCTCTCCTCGTTTCCCACTGCCCTCTTTCATTGCTTTCCTCTCAGAGAGTGAGACTGATCACCCCCTTGACTTAGATCTCTCTTTTTAAAGAATTATTTATTTATTTTTATTGGAAAGGCAGATGTACAGAGAGGAGGGAGAGAAACAGAGAGGAAGATTTTCCATCTGATGATTCATTCCTCAAATGGCCACAAGTGCTGCGCCGATCCGAAGCCAGGAGCCAGAAATTCTTTCTGGGTCTTCCACGTGGGTGTAGAGTCCCGAGGCTTTGGGCCATCCTGGACTGCTTTCCCAGGCCACAAGCAGGGAACTGGATAGGAAGCTGGGTTGCTGGGATTAGAACCGGCGCCCATATGGGATCCCAGAATGTTCAAGGCGAGGATCTTAACCGCTGCACTATCACACCAGAGCCTAGATCTCTTTTATAAAGATTTTTTATTGGAAAGTTGGATATACAGAAAGGAGGAGATACAGAGACAAACATCTTCCGTTCACTGATTCATTCCCCAAGTGGCCACAAAAATCAAAGCTGAGCCAATCCAAAGCCAGAGGGTCCCAAGACCTTGGGCCGTCCTCTATTGCCTTCCAGGCCACAAACAGGGAACTGGATAGGAAGCTGGGCTGCTGGGACATGAACCGGGACCCATATGGGATCCAGGTGTGTACAAGGCCAGAACTTTAACTACTAGGCTATCGTGCTGGGCCAGATCTCTTTTAAGTGTGATCTCCTTGAAGAAACTTTTCCTGACTAGCATACAAGTTGGTTATTCATGTGAATGTGCTGAGGTAAGCAGTGGTTAGCAAAACTACAGGGCACGCATCAGATCCAGATGTAGCTCAAGGTCTCTGTGTGACCCACAAGCCAAGAAAAGTTTCTGCATTAATTCCCCATTGGCCATGATACTGGCAGGTGGCAGACAGAAGGCAGGAACTTCAGGATCTCCCAAGTGGGTATGAGGGCCGAGCACTTGAACCATCCTCTGCAATTTTCCCAGCCACATCAGAGAGCTGAATGGGAAGTGGGGCCAGGACTCAGATATTCATCTTGGATGCCAGCACTGCAGGAGGCAGCATATTCCACGATGCTGGTCCCCCTTCTCCCTCCACTTACATTTATTTTTTCTTTTTTTGAAAGGCAGAGAAAGTGTCTTCCATTTACTGGTTCACTACTCCCACCCCACTAGCCAAATGCCTGCAACATCTGGGTCTCCCACGTGGGCAGCAAAGAACCAAGTACTTGGGGCTTCAGCTACTGCCTTTTAGAGTATAGATTAGCAAGGAGCTAAGTCAGAAGCAGAGTAGCTTGGTCTTGAACCAGGCACTGCAGATGCTGGTGTCCCAGTCAGCATCTTGACGGCTATATCAAATGTCTGTCCTACCCATCATCTTTCAGTTTGTTGTGTGCGCTAGGCCAGGGTGTCTTTTCCATACAGACCATGACTACATTTGTATTCTAGCTCCTTGGAGGGTCCAAGTAACCATCACAAGGACAAGCAGTGTTCTGGACGCTCATCCAGTCTTTTGTGAAGTAGATGACATGCTGCATTCATCTTCGATGGAGGCTAGAAAACATGTCTGACAGGGAGACCATTTGCTTAAATGTGGTGCATCAGGTTAAGCTGCTCCTGCAACACCAACATCCTATCCCATATCAGTGTGCTGGTTCATCTCAGATGCTCTACTTTGGATCCAGTTCCCTGCTAAAATGTGTCTGTGAAAGCAGTGGATGATGACTCGGGGCCCTGACACCCATGTGGAAAATCCAGATGGAATCCCAGGCTCCTGGCTTCAGCCTGGACCAGCACCAGCAGTTAAACAGCCATATGGGGAAGGAACCAAGGGGTGGATCTTTCTGTCACTCTACTTTTCAGATAAGTAAAATAAATCTTAAACAAACAAAATACTCAGGCATTTGGCCTATTAGTTAAAATGCCCATGTCCCATATCGGAGTGCTTGGCTTCCATTCCCAGCTCTGACTCCCAACTCTAGCATTCTTACCAATGCAGACCCTTGTTCAGGTGGTGGCTCAAGTAGCTGGGTCCCTGCCATACATATGGGAGACCTGCCTTGGATTCTCAGCTCCAACTGGCCCAGTCCTGGCTGTTGGGAAGCATTTGGGGATCAACAGATGGGAACCCTACTGTCTCTTGTCTCTTTAATGAATCGGAAAAACAAAACACTGTTACTGCACAGGCAAGTTCAGATTTGGGAAGACAATGAGCAGTCTTCCACTCCGTAAAACATCTCCCCATCTCTGCAGCCCTGTGCTGCTGACTGGCAGAAGACTATTTCTGGTGCCAGAAAGGGCAAAAAGCAAGATTCTGGGAAGCAGAGAATGAGGACAAGCAGTCAAGGGTATGGATTAGAGGCTGGCCTTGACAATCTAGAAATAGCCATTATTATTCTACAATGCCTTATATTCAGCATTCTGCAGACAGCTGAAACTACAAAAACATTTTGTAGGCAAAATGTCAACCTCAAACCACCTCTTTGTTATGCAAAAGAAACTATTTCCAGAACAGATGTTCTGTGTACTTAATTTGATCATACTTACCCTTGAGGGAGTCCTGGGATTTAAATTCCCAGAGTCGTATAATAATTTGTTCCTATTTGAACATGTCCAAATAACTCAGTCACCTGTGCATCTTGGAATGGACATAACTGGACATTTCCAGGTGTGCAGCTGAATAAGCAGAATTTGAGTCAACTAACAAGATTGTCATCTTTAGTCCACAACAGGAGACAAAGAAAAACAAACTGTTCTGGTCTCTGATGGGCAGCCTTGGACACCCTAAACAGAGGTTCCAAGGAAACTGGTGGGCAGGAAGTAGACACGCATTGAGGGCTGGAACCACTGAGACCCAGTAACAAACAGGGACCAGCTCCTGCCTTTACAAATATGGAGCTGCATGTCTGTCCAGCTGCTTATGTGGGGAAGCCTCTCTCACCAAAGGAAATGGAAAGTGCATGGTGAGCTAGCCACTCTCCTGCCCAAAGGAAGTGGGGAAGAGCTGTGTTGACGCAAATTTCAGTCAGTTTCTAGACCCCTCTTCAAGGATCATAAGCAATGCCATTCAATGCCATAAAACCAAAGTCAGGGAATAAGGACAGTTAGGACATCTTCCTTTACAAGATCTTACAGTGCCAGGGGAGTACTTTTCCATAATCACTTTTTGGGGGCTGTACCAGGGAAATCTCCAAAGTCAGGAGGGGCAAGAAGCAAGAAAGCAAGAGAATCCTGCTTGGAATGATATGAACTGTTCACGGGAGCTGCTGGTGAAGGTGATGTGGAAGAGGCAGGCTAGCTACATCTGCTGAAGCTCCTATGTAGCTCCACTTGTCAATCAAAATGCCCCCTTTCCTGGAATGCATCTACTTCATCTGGGACCCAAAGGGGACATCAAGAAAATCAAGCTCCATAAATTTATGAAGGTCCCATGTAATTAGTGCCCTCACATTGGGAGAGGCACTAACCCCTCTCTCATGACAGAGACCAATAACGGGGAGGGGAATAAAGGCATGGCTGGAGGAGCTGCCTGGTGCTTTCTCCTTCCTCCACAATCTTCTGACCCACTGCCCATGAATGTATGTCTACTTGCTAAGTTCCTGCCATGTGACAGTACTTGTGTCAGGTACGTGGGGGTGAGAGCCAAGAGGCTCACGAGGACTTGAACAGTCTACTGGCAGTGCTGTGAGCAAGAGAGAAGCCCTCCATGTTGCAGTCAGCAGACTTTCCACACACCCCTCATCTTCCCCACTAAGCACTAGAGCTGGGATGGACACACAGAGGAAGGAGGAAGTCAGCTGAATCCCCAGCTCAGGGTCTTCTCCACACTGGCATGCAAAGACCTCTCTGGAGGACAGGGGGCATTCAGCATCATGGGTAAGCTGCTGCATCTCGGGGCTGGTACCATGTCAAAATAGCTCAGGTTCAAGATGCTCCACTTCCAACACACCTGGAAAAGCAGCGGAAGATGGCCCAACTATTCAAGCCCCTGCTCCAACATGGGAGACCTGAATGGTGTTCTTGGCTCCTGCCTTTGGCCTGGCCCAGCCCTAGTTATTACAGGCATCTGGGGAGTGAACAGTTGGT